CTGCCCATAGGCAGTGCTTGGGCTATGTAGTCTTCTCTCCATCTCTACGTATTTTGTAGATTCAAGTAAGCACAGATCAAAAATACTCAGAGGAAAATAGCACCTGACACCTACACACACTACTGTCCATGCGATGGAGTGTTTTGTGCCCCAACAGGTCTCTCCAGCCTGAAGACCATCACCAGATGTAGCCCTAGACCTTGCATCTCCAGAAGCCTGTTTCTGCCACCTCCAGCTCACGGACTGCCAGATAATGGCAGCAGGGGTGACAAGGGAGGAGTTGCCTATGCTGTGGCTTGTTCTAAGATGCTGTCTGTGTATCAGCCAACGGGTGAGGATGCCTGAGTATGACATGGCTAGAGAAAAAGATGTGATCGTAAGTTCACAGAATCCTTACTGTGCAGAGGCCTCTTCATGTGCTCAGTGTGAAAAAATAGGATTTTAACACCAATATTTGAGCTTCTAGAGTACAGTTATTGGTGTTCTGCAGCAAGAAGTCAAATTGGCCCTGGAGGGCCTCAGCACACATCTGTCTGTCTGTCTGTCTGTCTATCTCTTACACACACACACACACACACACACACACACACACACACACACACACACACCTGTGTTGGGCATATATAGACTTTCCTTACTCTTGACATTCCCTAAACAACACAAAGTAACTTCTTACACCGTATCACACAATGTATGTCATCTCCAGGTGATTTAAATTACATAAGATTATAAGTAAAGGAATATAAAAAGGACTTCAGCATCTTAGGATTTTTGGTTTCCAAGGAGTGTTCTGGAAACTCCATGGATACCAAGTGTATACTCTCCTGACATAAAAAGAAAAATCACAGTTGGTTTCTGTGTGTCCATGCATGTGAATGAAACCCCACTGCATTTATCATTGTTCTTGGGTTTATTACGAAGAGAAATAAGAGGAAAGAAACAAGGAAACAATACCTCAGGTGAAGTATTATATATATCAAAAATTCATGCTTTAATGTAAATCAAAAGTTCATGCTTAAAACATAAACATTCAGTGTGGGAAAACTGAACTTAAGAAAGTAACTGAAAAATGAAAACTCCACATACATGACCATCATCTGCTCCCTGCTATGGCACTGGTGGGAATGAAAATTTGGAGGTCATTTCACTTGCCTTTTGAATTAGTAAAATTCTAGCCTGTGAACTATTTAAAGTAGTGTTCATGAAGATTATGTGGAAACATGGGAAAGCTTAAAATGTCATATCTTCTGAGAGAAGAGCTAAAGATTGTATCTCCCATGTGGGAGAAACTGGAGAGAGAAGAGAGCATGTTTAAGAGTTGTATTTGGGTATTGGGATTATATGACATTTTTCTTTTCTCTTGAGTATTTTAATTAGTTTCCAAGGTGTAAAAATTTCTACAGATTGGAAAGTAATTAAAACCACCCAATTAAAAATTCAATTCTTAAAGCCTGAAAGAATGAAGATTTGAAGTTAGCTGTCCTGGCCTCATGAGGGATGCCACATGGGACATTTCAATCAGTTGTTGCAGTTTGAAGGGAGATTGCATTTAATCTGAGAGTCGCTGGTGTTGAAAATCAGAAGAATAATAACAGAAGACACCAGGCCCTCCCAAACCCAGCTGCCAGCAATTCAACCAGGAGCTTCAAGAACTAATTTCTGCCCATTCTCTGTGGTTGTCCTCAGGAGACTACTATGAGGGTCATTGTGATGGTGATGGTCTTGTTTTCCAATGGCTCCCAGAGGACCAGGCACTTCATGGCAGCTGTCTGGGTTGGGGCTAGGCATCAGAGACTCACAGCCTGTGCAGTATTGACCTGGAGGTGAACAGTTACCCTACACATCTCCTCCCCAGGAGTAGAATGCCTCATTAGGCTACAGTTTCTAATCCAAACAACCATTCATCGTTTTTCAGGGTTAAAAGGCCAGCAAAGCAATCTTTGTGCACACAATTTCTGTTTATATACTATACTTGTCTGTGTCTTATAAGTGCAGATGTATTTTACTGAATACTTAGAAACACCTTACAGTTGTGTCCAGAGCTATAGACAAAATGCCAAACTCAACGCAGCCCTTCCTGTTCATGGAGAAGGGACAAGAGAGCAAAACTAGTCATCTGTTTATTGTGGCACTTGACAATAAATCATAGTGACAAGGCTTAACTTAGAATTCATGTTTACCTCATAATTAGAGATGTATGGTTGAAGTGAAAATGCTGTCGTATGTCGTAATGCTATGAACATAACATCATATAAACTCTCATGTCATTCTTTTAATTTTCCCTCCTTTGCCAAGTAAGCCAGGTAAGTGAACCTGTACCTCCAGAAATGTCTTTAAAAGGAAATCAATAGGAAACTAGGATTTGGAACGAGAAAAATGCACTTGTTATCTCTGTGAAAGTGTTTGGTGTGCAGACATTGGCCGAATCTTCTCTCTCATACTTAAAATAGTGGGCAAGTTACAAAACACTTCTTTTTCAATGTTTTCAAATTTTAAAGAGCAAAATGATGAGTCTCAAGATAAAAAGACCATGGAGGCTTCCTAAATCTGTTTCCTAATGCATGGCCTTTAAGATTTCCCTTTGCAGAGTCACCGTCAATATGAATACCAGACATTTCTGGTGAGTCACAGTTAGGCATCTGGTTACTTGTTAGGAAAGGTATCCGATATTTGAGTGATAAAGAATTCATTTTTATATCTCAAATTGTTTTTCACTAATTTCTCAAATCCAAAATCTCCCATTCAAGAGTAAATAGTATATAAAACAGAAAAGGCATCCCCTGTGGGCACTTCATCTGTGAGTCAATCATAAAATTGAAAATACTGAAGAAAACGGCTTCACAAATTTCCAAGGACCAAACCTGAATCAGCTGTGCACCGAACTCTGCACTGTGTGTGTGGGATTAAGTGTGTAGACACACACAGCAGCAGCCTGTCCCTGCATAGCTCTCCTGTCTCCTGCACTAGGTAGCATTGCCTGTCTTGACTCTTGTGAAGTCAGACCTACAAGAATTTATAAAATTTAAAGTACAGACTTCTTTTCTTTGTCATCCCCCCAACCCGGAACAGTACAGCATAGCAAGCAATTACATAGTGTTATTTTGTTTTAGATAGAAGGAATCTAGAAATGATTTGAGGTGCCAGAAGGATGTTCATAGGTTGGTTACATGGAGATGTGGCTCATAGATGTGTGTGTGTGTTTGTGTGTGTGTGTGTGTGTGTGTTTGTGTGTGTGTGTGTGTGTCTGTGTGCGCGCGCACTCGTGCGCGCGCGCACACGCATATGCAGTGTTACTGGGAATTGTGTCATTTTACCTTCTTTCTTTTTTATTCTTTTGAGACAGGGTTTCTCTGTGTAGTCTTAGTTGTCCTGAAACTCACTTTGTAGACCAGGCTGACTTTGAACTCACTGAGATCTGCCTGCCTCTGCCTGCTGAGTGCTGGGATTAAAGGAGTGTGACACCACACCAGACCCTTTTACCATTTTATGTGCATGAAGGAACTGGGCACACACTGATTCCAGTGTCCACATGCAGTCCTGGAACCAACTGCCTAAGGACACAGAGAAACAATGAATGCATTATAAGAGTTTTCTGACTTAACCTATTTGGACATTTTTTTAAAAAAATACTTTATTTAACTTTATTTTATGTGCGTTGGTGTAAGGGTACCAGATCCCCTGGAACTGGAGTTACAGACAGTTGTAAGCTGCCATGTGGGTGCTGGGAGCAGAACCCGGGTCCTCAGGAAGAGCAGCCACTGCTCTTAACCACTGAGCCATCTCTCCAGCCCCCTATTTGGACATTTTTAAAGGGTGATGGTAGCAATCAGAGAATCCCCACCTCTTGCTATGCCAAGTGTACTTTCATTAGTTGACAAATTTTACTGAATGTTACTCAGATTGGCAGAGCTGACTCTTTCTCTGCCTCATTTACATACAGCTTCTACTCATACTCCATTATTTACCTTCTGTAATTTTAGGTAGACATGGCCAACAAGGTGTAGCTGGCATTCTGTTGGTATACCTTATGCTTGTCTCTGGGTGCTGGGTATAAAGCACTTGAGTGTGAGTGTGTGTGTGTGTGTGTGAGTGTGTGTGCCTGTGTGCACTTTGTGCATGTGTGTGTCATGTGCTAAGCATGCATTCCACCACTGAGTTATATCCAAAGCCCCTCCTTCTCTTTGTGTGTATGGTGCATGTATGCACGCGTGTGTGTAGCTGCACACTGTACTGTGTGTGTATGTGTATGTGGAAGACAAAGGTTGACACTGGGTGCTTTTGTTTTATTCTTCACCTTATTTTCTGAGACAGGGTCTTTTAGTGAATCTGGACTGGCTGGCCAGAGGGCCCTGGGCATCTGCCCATGTCCACCTGCCACCCCAGTGACATTTTACAATTACATGGATGGGGATGGGGAGGGTCTGAACTCAGGTACTTATGCATGAATGATGAGCACTTTACCTGCTGAGCTATCTTCCCAACCCTGCCTTCCCCTTTTAAGATTTAGAAAATGGCTTTCTTTAACAAACCCAGACAGTATAGGCATTTATAACATCTAAAGTGAGAGAATAGGCCAGATGTGGTACACATTTGGAATCTCAGTGCTGGGAAGACAGAGGCAGAAAGACCCCAAATTCAAGACCAGCTTTGGCTATAGAGAGTTCAGGCCAGCCTTAAACTACAGCTACACAGTGAGCCTCTGCCTTAAAAGCCAAGGGCTGAAGGTGTTGCTCAACAGTAGATCACTTGCCTAATGTTTGTAAAGCTCTGAGTTCTAATCTCAGCACTATAAAAAGTTGAAAGCATAAAACACTAAGTGCACATTTCCCCTTAATTGTCTGTAACCTAATTTCATTTCTTCAGTGATATCTTTTAGCATTATGATATCCTTTTCCTCTATGTAGACACATTTATATCTAGTTGAAAAGGTAAGTCAAACCATACTAATGTATAATTTTTGCCACTTGCTTTCTGCCAACACCTTTTATGAAACAGACATATTTCCAAGAGATTTACTTCATCTTTATTAATAATACCATAGTATTCCATTATATTTAGACTGTTTTAATTTTTATTACCCCAAAAAGTACGTCAGAGATACTCTTGTCTTTTTTTTTTGCACAGTAATACTAGTGTTTCTGCAGGATAAACTTCTAGACATGCAGTATCTGGACATAGGCTATGTATATTTGTATATCTGATAGACAGTTTTTGTCCATTTGGCACATGGACTGAGAGTTAGCATGTTCAGTAGGGGTTAAGGTGCAGGAACAATGACCCCTGGGGTGTGGCCCCAGGTTTTACATAATGAGAATCAAGGAATTTCCCAAGGATACAATCATATCACATTCAAACCAGCAGCAGTTGAATTAAGTGTGGAGACAAAAGACAAAGGCGAGCCTGACCCACTTCTGCTACCTGTAACTTCTGCTACAAAGGCAACAGTGATCGTTTCTGCTGTCAGTTAGTACAGTTTCATTGATGCTTCGAACAAGGCAGACAAGTCCTCTTCTGATTGGGCACGGGGTGCAAGTTTGGTGACCCTTTCCTGAGACAGTAAAGAAAAAGGGGTTATCCAGTACTTGGAAGTGAAAGTGCCAATGCTATGTGCTTATGGAAATTAGCTTGGTCATTAGAAACAGTGACTAGATACTTCAAATATCCTATAGAAATACCTTGGTGTAACCCAGCACTTGAGGATCAGAGAATAATGAATTCAATGTCAGCCTGGGCTATATAGAAATATTCTGTTAAAAACAAAACAAAACAACAAACAAACAACATGATGCGCAAAGAAACTCCCCACTCCCAGGTCCCAAGCCATCTTCCTTGCCTGGCTTGGGCTAATTCCCAGTCAGGTTTCTCAATAACTATTTCTTTTTCTTGGGGCTTTGGGAAGCCATCAGCCTTTGCCTTCTGCTCAAATGTACAGAACAAACCATCCTGTCCTCTGATCAAGCTGGACCTGCCAATGGCCTCTGCCTGCTGTCCTTGTACACACAGTCTTGTCCCTGGTAATGAATGTCAGGGCTGCCAAGAAAAAATGTAACTGCTGGTCCTCGACTCAAGCCCACTTGCTTCACAGCTGGGTCTTAAGATGCATCCAAAAGGACTTTCTGTAGGACATGGCCCTTTAGGTTATATGCGACAGGAATCCATGTTTTCCCTTATGAATCAAAGCTTCATATTTACTTTTCCAAATCAGTGTAATTTCTCCAGTACTCATCATGGGTGGGTTGGCGATGTCAACAGCCTATGGCTATGTGTTCTCTCGTGGCCCTATGATCCTCCTAGGGCAAGGGACTGAAAAATAATACTATCTGTCCCCCAGATGAACAAACACTACATCATACAGCAGGTATTTAGGTGTATATCCCACTAGCAGGCAAGCATGGGACAAAGGTCTGGCTGTGTTTGGTGCTCTGGTCTGGTACCCATCATAGTGCTCAACATATGGTAAACGTATTATCAACAGTTAATTGTTGAGTTAATGAAGATGGTGAGGGAGGAGAGAGAATATTGGCATCTGACAAGTTCCATATACAAGACAGATTGCTGACTCTGTCCAGTCCTCCCATTTTCCTCAGTTCAGAAACAACACCTAGTAGGTAGTTCAGAGACATCTCAAGGATATAACTGCAAGTCTGTTAGAACCACCTTCAAGATGAATCGCATTCCTTTAAATAATCCACCTTCAAGGCACCACCACACCCTGGCCTGCAAAGGGCTGTTTCCATTTTTGCTCCACTATCGCCCCCTAGAGGTTATTCTCTTAACAGTAGCCAGCTCTCCTTTTGTCCTAGCA